TAACATTTTAACATGCTAATAATACCTATACTTAGATCACAGGCAAGCAAAATTACATCCAATAATGTGTTTACTGTATATATTTATTCTACAGATGCCGAGTTGTCTTGCAACACTCCTTTCCTTTCACACACAATAGAAGGCAGGTTGCAGATGTTTCTGCACATTGTGAATGATGGCCCTGTGTCCACTGGGAATGGTGCTCTCCATCATATTTCACAGTCCAGCAGACAGCTGTGACATCATTTGGATAAATGGGTGAAGATAGTTCTTCAGCTGCTTGCATTTCTTCGTATCCATCTGTCAGATTGTAGTGGTCTCTCTCCTTGCTGCATCATTAGCATTACAAATTGGTCCATTCATTGGATGCAATACAGTCAATCAGTCAGTACCGAAGCAGGAATAACAGCAGAGCATCAGCAGTCAGTGGCTACCTGCCCTGGCTGCCACCAAGGAAGGAAACCGGAATATGGATGTATGCTAATGTTATTGATTAGAGTGATAGGCAGCTTTGGGGTTGGCCATGATAACAATGCACAGAAAAAAGCTTCAGAATTGTTCTTCCTTATTTTAAAAAAACTACCATACTTTTAAGTGTGACTAAATTTCAAGGAAACCTATTGTGTATCTATATATATATTAAGCTGTTAACAAGAACAGAAAGTGGGCAAGTTTAACTTAGGACCATGTTGCATGCTTAATGCTTGAGGGCCCATTCACGCTATTAGTCATACATGCAGTAAGTAAACACACACCCAGATGTAAGTACCTGCAATGTGGTGTGCTGCATTTCCAAAAATAATGCAGTAAAAAATTTTTCCACGTGGTAAGGTGCGTCTACAGCCCATTGAAAATGAATAAGTTGCCTTAACGCAGCGTGCATTAACAAGTGATGATACGGCCGGCTCCGCCCAGTTGTTCATTGACCAGGACCTGATAGAAGACTCTAGTAGGTGCCGGCCAATAGGAAACCGGTGGGGAGGAGCTAGCACCTTTTTTTCACTATTTGCTATTCTACTCGGTACCACGAAAGTACCGAGCCGAATAGCTGAGGCATTCGGCTGTTCACTCACTGCCGTTCGGCCCCTATGTGAATAGGGGCGAACGGCAGCGAGTGAGCTGCCAGAGCTTTGGCTCAGCCGATCCAGATGTTGGATCGGCTGAGTCAAAGTCCTTCTGCACTTTGGCTCAGTTCTGCACGACCGAAGCGCAGCCGAAGGCTGATGTATGGCTGAAATCAGCCGTACTGAGCCGTAGTGAATAGTCGAACATACGGCTCACTTTACTTCGGCTGGGTCATTCACTCGGCTGCCTTCGGCAGCTTTGTGAATAACCCCCTAGTGTTATTTCCATTTTCCTTCTCCTTAATCATTGTCAGTGTGTCAGGAACTGCCCCTTGCGCGAGGCCCTAAGTGGAAATCTAGCAATTACCGTATATACTCGAGTATAAGCCGGGTTTTTCAGCCAATTTTTTTTGCTGAAAAGTACCCCCCTCGGCTTATACTCGAGTCAGCGCCATGTGTCATCTTACTTACCTCGCCGAGCGTCGCGTCACTGCTGCTCCGGTGGGCGGCGCTCATTATCCTCTGCTAATATGAATGGGTTAAATGATCCGTAGTACATGATATGTAGCCCTGTACCCCCTTTTCCACTTACAGAGCTAGGTTATTTTTCTTTTAAATAAATATTCATGTAATTTTATTGGTATCTATCTACCAGTAGCTGCCTCATTTCCCACCCTCGGCTTATATTCGAGTCAATACTTTTTCCCAGTTTTTTGTGGTAAAATTAGGTACCTTGGCTTATATTCGGAACGGCTTATACTCGAGTATATACGGTAGGCAATAGTCAAACAAAAAGGCTGACATGTCTGAGCATGTGAAAACCCAAGTGGTCAAAGCACTTTTCTCTGGAGCTGGGATCTCAGCACTGTATGGTTTTGGTGTAGGAATAGGTGAAAATGCAGTATAACAAGCAGCGATATGCTCGTTTTTAACTGCTTTTCAGGCAGCTGAAAATCTTACTTTGAATTGATAAATTTTTTTGTGTAATATATATTTTTTATTCAAAAGGTAGAGTTACATTGGTGCTTGTAATATCAAAAGAAGAACTGTGACTAGGCTATAGATAATGATTTACATATTCTTACCAAGCAGTAAATAAGCTTTAAAACACACCCTGACTGACCTTCCTAGCTGCATGCACTGCATAATAATTCATCAAAGCTTACAGCAGAAACACATTCTGACCCAGTTGAGGCTAGGTCCACACCTAGGCTATTTATCACGAGGATTGAGTCATGTAATATCGCATGAAACACAGCTTTGCATTGAAGTCAATGGAAGCTGTTCACACCTTTGCGGTTTGTTGCAGACAAAATCGCCTGTCCTGCAAAAAGGTGCAGGAGCTTTTTTCGGGTGGTTGTCATGTGGGTTGGGTCCCATAGATATCTATATGCATTGAAAACCGAGCGATAACCGCACAGTTTTCAAAGAACAGTCGTACAGACAAAAACGCACGACAACCGTGCGAAAACAGCTCACTAGCTTAATTGCGTAGGTGTGAACCTAGCCACACACCTAGGCAATTTATTATGCGGATTGAGCCACGCGATATCGCGCAAAACACAGATTCACATTTTTCTGACGAAGGGGGCGTGCCCCGGAAACGCGTCAACGTCACTCGCACGCAGGATTCCCTCAGTGGATGTCCATCTGCCTGCCAGCTTTCACTCTATGGCTGTATTTTATCTATGTTTGTGAGTACCTTATGTTTTATCTTTGACTATTGAAAATAAATTTGATCTGCACCAGGAAAGGCGCCTCCTCTGTCTTCTCTTCACAGATTCACATTTAAGTCAATAGAGGCTGTTCACACCATTGCATTGCGTCACACGGGCAAAATCGCCTGTCACGCAAAAAAGTGCAAGAGCTATTTTCAGGCGGTTGTTGCATGGTTTTGGTCCCATAGACATCTGTATGCATTGAAAACTGTGATAACAGCTGAACAGCACAATCGGCTAGGTGTACACCAGGCCTCACTTTTATTTTAGCTGCTCAACTCCCCCCTGCCCCCCTACCAGCAAAGACTCAGCAGCCTATCAACCTTCTAATCTCTAATGTAACCAAAGAACCGAGAAAGAGTAGAGAGTAGAGTGCTGAGACCCAACTATAACAACACAAAAGCAAAAATTTCCCAGCACACTCACCAGCCAGCCTGCAAAAAACTACACTGCCTTACCTATTAAGGTTAAAAACAGAGCAGTGCAGTGCAGTCCTAACTCCATCTTGGAGCATATACCGTATGCATGAATTGGGTGCGGTATGCCAGGAGGTAGTCCAACCTCCTTAAAGGCACAGGTACACACCAGAAGCCCAGCACACCACAATGGCAGCTGTAGACAGATAACAATTTTTGCAGGCTGGCTGGTGAGTGTGCTGGAAAATGTCTGTGTTTGTACTGTGTAAAGCCCTTCCATGTGCTCCTGGATTTAAAGCTAGTTATGAATTGATGAGTGCATTTGCCATTTGTTTCACTTGTTGGATTTGGTGTGGGGACACACTGGGGGATTCAGCATCATTCATTGATTACTTGGATGTGTGGAGTGAAGCACTGAGGTTACACCTATGATAATTGGATCACTTTACAGTGTTAATATACATTTTTACACAAGACTCTTTGCACAAAATATCTTGTTTAGGGACACATTTTTGTATTTGTTGTTGTAGTATGTTGTATGTATTTTGAACCTCTGTTTGCTATAGTGCTGCACTATCATTGTATAGATGTATTTATAGAGTTATAAATACCATGTCTAAATTATGCTACATTTTATCTTATAAGATTGTTGTTAAAATTAATGGTCTGGCCCATCTGTCCCTCCAGCGCTGCTGCGGGTCTCTGATCCAACGCTGACTCCTCTGTCCTTGCTGGCACTTCCTGTCTCACGGTGTTTGCATGCGGGTGCACGCGTCCATATACTTACCTTGTGTCTCTCCTTGTCTCCCGGCTGAAAATGTGAACTGCGCATGCGCCCGCCCCAAGATGCTTTGCGGCCGCCCGATAATTTTCACATTTTCGGACGGGAGCACACGGTGAAGATACAGGTAAGTATTAACCTCTTTTAAAGCGGGTTTTTTTTTCTTTTTAACACTTTTTGCATATATCTACTGCTTGCTAGCAGTAGATATATGCAAAAAAAAAAACGGAGGGTTTAATAACCCTTCAAGTATCACAGAACATCACTAAGTGATATTAGCTCACCTACCACCGAACGTCCTAAGACTAGCTTCCTAAGCCAGTCATGATAACATTTACTGTGTATGGCACAGGCTAAAAGCTTACTTGTTCTAATCGTTGATAGAAATGCTTTTCTACTTTGGGGAATATTGCCTGCTATAAAACCACACCAGTTCACAACAAAACGTGCCTTATTCATGCATTTTCCTTGCACTGCATTATGCAACCCAACTTTGAATGGGGTGCCAGTGCACCTTATTGCACATGAAGCTGAAGAGGCACCATTTGTTTGACGCAGCACTTTGCAACACCCAGATGATACACAAGTGCAGTGCTTTCTAGGTGTATTGGGGTGTCATTAAATGTCAGGGGATCTGCAATGCACTGGACTGTCTTTCCTGCATTTCAGTTTTTTTACATTTTTACAGCATGTTTCTGCAATGTACTGGTATGAACAGGCCCATCTTTAACATCACGCATAGAAATTAGACAATCACCACTCAATACTGTGTATTTCATGGGATATAGCCAACCATGGGAAATACTTTCTGTGCACCTTTATCATTAGAAAAGACCAATTGTTGGGGTTCAAATTTCCATTAAATATCTTACTGGATTTCTTAAAAGAAAAACATCACTTGTACTCCTTAGTCACTTTCCTTTGTAAGGTTGGATACCTCTTCTTGAAATATTCTTTGTACCTCATGATTGTTCTGTTTGGAAAAAGAATAACCAAGCTCTTTTTACTGTCTTGCCCACAGGCGTGCTACAGAAAACAGATTGTCGCATCGGAGGCAGACAATACTTCGAGAAAAAGGCAGGAGGCAAACTAACCGAGGGCCAGCTTACATGTTCAATGACCGCTCCACCAGCCTATCAGCAGAAGAGGAGCGTTTTTTGGAGGCTGCAGAATACGGGAACATTCCTGTGGTCCGGAAGATGATGGAGGAATGTCACTCTTTAAATGTCAACTGTGTGGATTACATGGGCCAGAATGCTTTGCAGTTAGCAGTTGCCAATGAGCACTTGGAAATTACAGAGCTGTTGCTGAAGAAGGAAAACTTGGCACGAGTGGGAGATGCTTTGCTTTTAGCTATCAGTAAAGGATATGTAAGGATAGTAGAGGCCATTCTTGGCCATCCATCCTTTGCTGAAGGCAAGCGGCTTACGACGAGTCCTAGCCAGTCGGAATTTCAACACGACGACTTCTATGCCTATGATGAAGACGGAACTAGATTCTCTCAAGATATCACGCCTATTATTTTGGCTGCTCACTGTCAGGAATATGAAATAGTCCATACCCTTCTGAGAAAGGGAACCCGAATCGAGAGGCCTCATGATTATTTTTGTAAATGCAGTGAATGTAATGAAAAACAAAAACACGACGCCTTTAGCCACTCCAGGTCCAGGATCAATGCATATAAGGGACTTGCAAGTCCTGCCTATCTATCGTTGTCCAGTGAAGACCCTGTTATGACAGCTTTGGCGCTTAGTAATGAGTTGGCTGTGTTAGCAAATATTGAGAAGGAATTCAAGGTGGGTCTAGTACTACAAGGGGTGCTCCTTTCAAGGTGTTAGATGGAGATCTCATATCTGCTGTCAGCCCCATGGGTGTGGTAGAAAATTAATCCCCTTACTGTCACTTTTCCACTTCTCCCTGGAGGAGATGGTGAGCAGTGACACACAGTGATCATATTTCTACATGCAACCTCCTTCCATCTGTGTATGCTGGATAATGCACTGTATAAGTTATTATATGCTCTCACCTTAGAACAGTGTTAAGGAGAATTTGTTAATTTGTTGGTGTTGTAAGACCATCCCCCCACCTACTGCTCTTCACCTTTGATGCACTTTCCAGCTGCTGTGGCAATGCCCTCTCTAGATACCAAGTGCTTTCAGCGAAAAGGTAGCATGGGACCTCATTCCAGGTTGCATTGCTCAGACACTGTCGTCTAAGGAGGAAAAATAAATTAACCCTATCTAAGCTCCAACACCCACCATCTTGAAGCTTACACAGGGCTAGGAATCTTAGCTCTGAATGAGGAACAAAGCTGTGGGGGACACAGGGAGGATGAGTATCATTGGGTAGGGAGGCGTTTTTTTCCTCAGTCTGGATACTGCCAGGTTTATTCACTTGGCTTCTTATGTCACTTGGAGATTGGATCCGAATTAAATCCAGCCAGCTGTCTGAGCCAGTACAAGCAAATCACACACTCACTGGTGGATTGTCTCTTTATTTTGATTTGGGAGAATACAGCAGGAGTACAGAGTTTTTTTTGCTTGGCTTTGCAACAGCTGGCCATGGGGTTGTTGCTGAACTACAACAAAGAGATATCACTTAAAAGATATTAGTTATAGATTATTTAACCCACCTCTGTCTGCCGATAAATAAAATAGTTCTTGTGAACACCCTTTGAATAAAACCCATAAAGCAGATCTAACCAGGCACCAAAGTCGAGGCTCTGCTGAATGCAATGTATGCCTCAGTGCAACAATCTGAGCCCCTCTAACTATAGGTGAGACCCACACTGTGGGAAGGGGGATGTGGGGGGTAGTTGAGCTTTGACTTTGCAACTTAAAGTCTAATTTTGCTTATTAAATGGACCAACCTTGTGACCTCCTAGGACACTACATGATGGTGAAACGTAGGCATCGCTCTGTACCTACTTTTAATTGCTTACCCGAGTTTTATATGTACAGTGTGAGCCACTCAAACCTTTTTTTCATATTATAAACAATCATAATACACAAACTCTCTATGGCCAAAGAAGACAGATGGGTGATGCTTGATAAGGTGGTTTATAAATTAAACAACCCTCCAGGCAGCTGGCAATGATGAGAGGATTTTCTATAGTATCACTTATGAATATGCAAGAAGGCTAATGTCTGGATTTGTATTCCGCAATGCAAGACTTGGCAGAGCAGATACAGTACACAGTTATAGTTTCATCATCATCATCACATGGCCACTGAGGCTGTTAAGGTAATAATATTTTAAATCCCAGCTAATCAACAATTTGATAACTGCTGGAAGATTACGATGTAACATCAATTATTTATACTTTGTAATAAACTTCAAAATCTGGCTCGCTCACAATATTGGCTAGCTGGAGGTGAAATCAGTTCTTTTTATGTGTGTGCATAAACCTGGCTATGAACATGCAATGATCACCATCTGACCAGCTGTTTTTGCTTATTTTAGCCCCCATTCATGCTTGTGAATGAGGCAGGTTGGGTGAATCTCACAAATTGATCTGTGAAGCTCATGTGAACAGCTGTGGGTAGGAAACACTATACAAAGCGATGACACCTGACAACCTTTCACATGTACTCATACATGCTACAATTACCTGCTACAAAAATAGTTTGCATCCATGGGTGATTGCCTGCAGGTACTTGCAGCATATTTGATTGCATTCGCACGGGCGTGAATGGCTGTGGGCACTGTCAGCACATACGAACACGTGCTAACATTTTACATGCAAACAATTGCAGACACTGTCAACCAGGACCGTCCCTACCCCATCGCCTTAGGAGGCCAGGAGAAGGGTGGGTTAATGCGGTCCAGAGACAGGGGAGGGGGGTTTGGGCCAAGCTTTCAGCTGGGCAGAAGGCAGCAGCCAGCTGAGCTGTCAGCTGGACGGGAGGTGGCAGGAGGCTGAGCTGTTAGCAGGTGAGGGGCGGTGCTGTTACTCACCCGCGCTGCTGCCACCCACACCTTTCCCCCTCCCCAATGAGGCTGCCCTATTACACTATGATGGTTGTCCCCTTACAGCACAGAGCACAAGATGTCTGCTTCTCAGTGTGGCACTTATGATGTGGATATGTGATGGGCTTTGTAGATAAATAGTTGGTATCTAAGCTATTGATGAATCAAAAAACACCTGCTATGGTAATCAGGGACAGAATGTAGCCCTAGGCAAGGTTCCCCCACATCCCTTCAAACAATATTATTGAGATTGGAAAAGGCACAAAGAAGCATCCCCATTTCTGTTGTCTGTACCCATTGTACAGCTTTGATCAATTGCTTTATCCCTCTGGTTTTTCTACAGGAACAATAGCAAGCAGGTAATCTCTTGTAGCTTCTTTGTTGCTTTTTAGGACCCCTTTGTTTTAGCTTTAACAATTAACTAAGTGTTCTCAATCACCCATGAGGAAATTTTGGCCATGGTATAACATCGCCTGCATCCTAAAGGCCTGGATGATCTGGTAATCACTAAAGCTAAAGGCACTATATTCAGTCGCATTATGTGATAAGCTAAGGCATATGACACCCCTTTAGACACCATCAGCTCAGGCTTTTCAAAGGAAATGGTGAGTGAAAAGTTTAGATCATGTTCAGTTTCTGTTTTCTCCTTGATAATCCCACCCAGGAAGTGTATGCAGTATGCCTTTCATCTCGTCTCTGCATGGGCTAATCATGAATGGTCCCTCCTTGGTATGACAAACTTCCCCCTAGTGTCCAGGGGCATTCTTACCAATGTTTAGTCCAGTTTTGCCTTACAGTAATAAATGTGAAGATCATTTTTAGAGTTAGTGGTATGTCCTAGGAAACAATCTACACATTTCTGATTTCTTTAGAGGGATGGACCACCTAGAACACCAAAACCTTCCATAGATGCCAACAAACTGAATAATCAGCTGGTGCTTTTTTCTTTATTATTTAGTTACAGAGAGATTTACTTTTCCTGGTCTATCAACCTGGAGCTAACATTGGTAAACTGATCGGTAAGAATGATCTTTATTTAATTGGATTGGCAATGTACAGTAGGCCAGCAAGATTTCAAGGTGGCAGGAAACAATGTTAAGAACTGTTACCACCTGAGTCCCAGAAAGGCAAAAAAGAGTCAATATGGCAGCTTTTGGTCAGTTTTTGGTGGACTCACCCTCTAAAGGCTTCTTTTTATAATTATTCATATTATTATTATTATAGTATTAGTTATATTTTGACTAAACTGCACTGGTCTGAGGTCTCTTCATCAGGTTCTGCCCATCCTGTGAGCCATAAATGGTATTTTTAGGTTTTATAGGCATGCTTTTATGTACCAAAACAAAGTTACACATACAGTGGTTGGTGGCAACATATTAAATATTTAATGATTATTTGACATTACATGCAGTTCAATTCAAATGCACCAAAAACTACCACTTTATTATCAATATTTTGTAAACTAAATGAGGCTGCAACAAGATGAAGGGTTCATTACAACTAGCTCAGCCTTACTTAACCTCTTCCCTAATGGTCAAGTTGCACATTCTAAAATAAAGCAAGCCACTACTCAGTGAAATATATTTTAGGTCCGTAAGAGATCACAGACTTTACTAGATGAACTATCAGAAGCAGTAGAAAAATAACTATAAAGTATAGTGCTGATTTCCACCACTAGAAGAAGATCCTGAAGTAAATGTAATCTTTCAGGATGGGATTTTTTTTTTAACACAAATATTTATTGAGGGTTTGCTGCGTATATAAACATGAGAGATAAAAAATGCAATGGTACATTACATAGGATCAAAAAAACAGTTGACAATAGATCAAGTTAACAAGATTAAAACAGTGTATAGAAGAAACGAACAAGTTAATTAGAATAGGATGACCAATGTAGCAATTTAAATTGTATTTCCCTCCATATCTCTCCTGCGGTTGCTTTCAAAACTGAGGACCAACCCCATTGCAGTACATTCAATGTCTCTTCAATGGATGTGCCTGAAAATTCATGGCATGGTCGAGGGAGTTCCATCTTTACCTGCTGATCTAAGGCTAAGATAGAGGTATAAATGAGAATATTGACAGAATATAAAAGTCACCACAGTTTACTGAGCAAACTCTGTTTAATCTGCTTATTGTGAAGAAAATGTGAGCTGGGGATAGCAAATGCATCTTGGAGTTGTTGAAAAGTTAAAAGTTGTCCTTCATCAGTTAAGAGGTGAGAGATTTCCTTTATTACTTTGTCATCAAAAATGCAAAACACTTTGGAGTCTCGCCCCTGTGGGAAGGCAAGGGAGCTAAACATGGGAATAAGCGGGACGATCACTCCTGGGGACTTATAAAGCTTACATACTTCCCTCCAGGCTATTATAGTATTTCTTAGTAACATATTTTGTTTCAACACAGGGGTCAGGTCTGGTAGAGTAGAGTGTAAATGACATGCCAATGACCAAGGGGCTACCAACTGTGATTCTAAAGATAGGTTAGTGTTGTGGGATGTATTACCTAGCCAGTCCCAAACATGGTGCCACAGACTGGCCAGGTTGCAAATACAAAGATTAGGTAAATTAGCATGACTTTAGGTTGTTGAAGAGTACGTAGAGTGATGTGGGGCTTTCTCCCGGACCAGAGAAATTGAGAAAAGAAGGATTCTAAGCATTTGATGTCTTTATGTTTCAATAGCAGTGGTAAGGTCTGTAACGGATATAGTAGGCAGGCAAAGCTCATAATTTGTATGTGGTGGCACCTACTGGACAATCCCAGGGGGGATCTCTCCGTTGTGATAGTTCCTGAGTGATTTTATGTATTATAGGGGTAAAATTAAGAAGGTAGAGATCTAAGAACAAGGAATAATAATTCCCAGGTAAACCATATAGCTTTTCTTTAGCTTAAATCCCCAAGTATTTGCCCACCGTAGATTAGAGAGGGGAGGAGATTTGTCAAGAAATATAAGTTCAATGTTGTCATAATAAATGGACAACCCTGAAAAGAGCCGAAGGATCTGAGATGCTGAACTATTATGGGAACATGTATGCAAGGGTTTTGATAAAAAGAGAATGCTATCATCCACAAATAAAGCAGATTTGAGTTCCACGGATCCCACCTTAATGCTCTGGAAAAGTGAAGGTGTCAAAAAAGAATGAACTAGAGGTTCTATTGAGATAACAAACAGCAAGGGAGATAAAGGGCATCCTTGTCTGTCACCTTTCTGAAGAGAAAATGAGGTGCCAACACAAATTTGGGCTGTGGGGTTGGTATAAAGCATAGTAATGAAATCTAGAAATGTTCCCACAAAGCCCATGGGCCTCATCACCTTTAACAGCCATTGCCAGTTAACATTATCACGTGATTTCTCCGCATCCAGCACTGAAAGGGCATCAGACAATGGAGAAAGAACAGAAAGCTGATGGCGTTCAAGCACAGTTAGAACTCTTCTGATGTTATAAACTGCGGAGCGTCCTGAAACAAAGCCGACTTGAGCTGATGAGATAAGATTAGGAAGCAGGCCAGCAAGATGATTCCCTCATTTTGGATAATAGTTTTACATCGCGATCCATTTAAAAGATAGGTCTGTAGAAACCCAGTTCATGAGGATCCCTACCTTTCTTGGTTATAAGTTGTATGAATGCCACATCACCTGTTGGATGCTATCTCTGTGCATGCAGGACCTAATTATACATATTCATCAGGTGTTCAGTGAGGTCCTAAGGGAGTAGTTAATAAAATTTGGCTGAATCAAGGCCAGGGGCTTTTCCAAAGGAAGAATTTTTAATAGCAGAGAGTACTTCTTATAGGGTAATGTCGGCATTGAGGATTTCCAACTCACTCAGGGATAGCGAGGGCAGAGAAACATGTTGTAAGAAATAAGGATGGGCCGAGTGTTCGATTCGGTCATTCTTAACTGATCGGTAAGAATGATCTTCAAAGGGATCAACAACCACGTTCATATCTCAAGCATTCAATAATGGAGAGGGTCTAGTTTGCAAACTTTGCTGAAGAAGATGAGCACAGAATGATCTATTGTTATGATTGGGTCCATAAACATTTAGCTATACAAATTCCTTGGATCCGAACTGTAGAGTGGTTTGATTCCAACGATCTTCTAGAGTATTGTACGTGTGTTTTAGCACATGGGTGCCACATGGGGAAAACGCCTTAGAGATAATTGGTAGAAAAGGCAGGGACAATATATGATTGTGAACTGTGAACTTCAATAAAACTGGTGAAGTGGAGCGGTGTGCAGTCGGTTAAAGTGAAGTTGCTTCACGACTGATTTAAATGCTGATGGAATTCAATGTCTAAAGGGGTAGTGAGATATCCCTTGTTCAAGCAAGGAAGGAAGCAAATCTACTCCTCCATATCCCATGAATTTTAGCAATTCTCTTACTGGCAAGGTGAACTTTGACAGAACTGCCTGTCTGACTGGACCCTGGATATATTTATTCAAAGTTTCCCAGTAACAAGTAAAAATAATAAAATGATATTGTAAATCCAAGGAGTGCTGTCTAAGTATACATACAGTAGTTATGAAGGTGTTGGATGGTATACTGGAAATCTGGTCTTACATTTTACAGGTCTAAATGATCTGTTACAATACATAGATGAGAACTGTGTTAACTGCCAAAAGATTTAATTATTTAAAGTTTTTATGATGCAGGCACCTCTGCCAGACAGTACTGACAGGTCTCTTAAACCCCATTGTAGTTAAGCAGTATTTGTTGGTCAGTGAGCCACCTCATACGTGACTATTGGACAATGAATAAGCAACAGCTTACTCATGAGGTCACCCCAGGGTTCTCCTCCCCTGTGCTGACCTGCCTTTGCCAGGGCTGCTGCAAAAATAAAGACAAAGTTTAGATCCTTATATAAACTGTACTCAAAGCTGACAGAAACAAAAAGCCACAATTTAATCCAGATATGGACTCAATAAAAAAATATTAAAGGTAGTTTTATATAACCCTAGGATCCATATCTGAATCTATATTGATATCATTGAGTCCATGTAAGTAGCCTGGGAGGGGGATAGGTAGCAGAGGCGGAGAGCCCTGGGGTGACCTATAGGCATGACCTATAAGCATGTCCACGAGTAGTCTGAGAAAGGTTGCGCAAGTTGGTTGGTCAAAGGGGGGCAGAAAATAAAAATAAAATAAAATGTATAAAATTCTCCAATTCAGCTCACTTTCCAGTTCAGCTATGTTGTCCTAGATTGCCCACTTCTCCTGCCTTCTCCAAACTCTTCACCCTTTTGTGAATAACCCTGTAAATGTATTCCAGGAGTAAAAAATAGCTAAATAGCCTGTATAGTGAAATTGTTTATCCTTGGTTAAAAATAATAGGGGATCATGGGGAATAATCAGCAGATAGGTACTATTGGTTTGGAGATCCTATGCCTTTGCAGGAGGGTTATGGTTGGGTATGATATCCCCTCAGCTAAAAAAACATCCCTTATTCTGTGTCTCGATGCAGGAATTGTGAGGTCCTAAATACCCATAAGGGGCATTTGACTGCTGTTATTATGCTATGGTATAGAATCTTTTACTTGTCATGCAAGTGTTGGAGTGATCCATATCACTACGTCCTGCACGCTAAAACCCTCCATGAAGGGACGAATGGGATGGGAAGAAGCTTTGATGAAGGCCTCTGTTTTTTTTAAATTTTTCTTCAGGCTTCTGACTATTTTGTATCACCTCTTCAATATGTTTTACATGTTTTTTAGAATGACTACAAAAAATTGTCTATGCAATGCAAGGACTTTGTTGTTGGGCTTCTTGATTTGTGCAGAAACACCGAGGAGGTGGAAGCCATTTTAAATGGTGATGTAGACTCGAACCACAGCAGCACAGACGCTAATGGCCGGCCCAGCCTCTGTCGCTTAAAACTCGCTATAAAGTATGAGGTTAAAAAGGTAGGTACAAAATTTAACTGTAAGCTGTGTGTAGCATGTATAGTTAAAGTGGCACTTAACTCGGGAGTTAATTCTTAAAATGCATTCAAGCCCCTTAAAGGAGAGTGTTTTCCCCCATAGTTCTCCCCAGGGTCATGGGAGGACATAAACTAGCATCCTCCCGTGACCCAAAGCTCGCGGTATATTGAGAGCGCCGCAGCCGGGACGGATCCCGACATTACTGTTGAGATCCACCCAGCTGTGTGATAGACAGCTGGCTCTGCCTATCTAGAGGCAGAGCCAGCTGTGCCCTCCCTCGTTCGTTCCTCCAGTCAGCGCTGGAGGATCGGAGCAGGGAGGGGGGGGATCCCTGCAGGGAGCCGTGAGTGACAGTCACGGATCTCTGCAGGGACAGGATCGAGAAGTGAGCGACGATATGTGTTCGCTCACTTCCCAATCTATTGAGCCGACGTGTGACAGTTTCATTGTCACACGTCGGCTCGAACTATGAGGCTGAGTGAAAATCACTCACCTCATAATTCTCCTTTAACTGTTACCCAAAAATATATCTTATTTGTGTATCACTCGGCTGTAGATCCTCAAATCATCTCTGAATTGGAGCTGACACTGTCCTTCCTTCTGGAGGGGGACTACTTTTAATCCCTATGGTCCCTGTGTGTGTTGTAAAGTATTCACCGCTCCAAGCTCGCACCCGTGATGGACTACAATCTCGTGTTTATATTGCAAATTTGTATTGAGATTGTATTGTGTTCTTTGCATTTCTTTATATGAATAAGTGTATAATAAATGCTCTGCTAAGCTGTAGTTTGGCATTCAAAACACCAGGCCAATGCAATTTTAGAGAAATTATGATGAATAATTATAAGAATTAGGATGTTTGTGTGTGGCCCCCAAGTGAGTTGTAATGGTGTATTTTGATGTGTGACTGTAGTGTTCTTGTGTTGTGATTTACAATGACAGACGTATAGTGGGCGCAGAGTGATGACACCATTACACTCCACCTTTTAATATCCCTTGCCCCAGGCCTGCTGTTGCACATGTAAAATCTTTCTTATTAACACTGAGAGTATGATGTCTGTTTACATACTTTGTGAAAGCTGCACAATATACACTCGCTCGTGTCTTCTTTTAAGTTTGTAGCTCATCCGAACTGTCAGCAGCAACTTCTATCAATCTGGTATGAAAACCTTTCAGGCCTGCGACAGCAGACCACAGCTGTCAAATTTCTGGTTGTTCTGGCTGTGGCATTTGGCCTCCCGTTCCTTGCCATGGTTTACTGGTTCGCCCCATGCAGCAAGGTAAGTCAATGACTGCATTGTCTGCATTATGCAATATTGGCGTAAAGATTAAGGATCTGATGTATGCGTTCTAGAACTAGTTGCTTGTTGTATATTCTCTTCTAAGCGGCCTTCCTACAGCTGTTGCTTGAAAATGAGTCCAAGAAGCTAACTGGTGAAACGTAGTATTGAGCCTGGGCTTGGTTGGAACCCAGTTTGCCCAAACCCACTACAAACTGTGACCACCACCCCCTACTTGTGACCCAATCAATGGTGGCACTTGTGGTGGTGGAATTCCCCACCCATTGTGACATACACTGAGTGGCCAGATTATTATGACCATCCCATCAGTACTTCGTTGGGCCACGGGATGACTCCACAAGATGACTTCGTTGGGCCGCCTCGTGACTCCACGAGATGTTGAAAGGTGATGCGAGGAATCTATAATGGTCTGGCCCTCTAGCAACTTCAGCGCAAAAATATAGCTAATTATAGCCAATTTGCCTACAAACGTCAGGTGGTCATAATTATCTGGCCACTCAGTGTATAGTTACGGGGTGGGGAATGCATTTCCCTGCAACTGATTGGGTGGGAGGAGGGTGGGTGGTGGCAGTCAGAGTTTCGAGTGGGTTTAGGCAAACTCGGTTGATCTCTAAGCCCAGCCTCATCACTAGTGGAACTCATCAACAAGAAAGCTTTCAAGCCACTAATGTGATAGCACATTATTGGCGACAGGTTCTCGTTAGGGAAACATTAGAGGTATATTAGACCCCTAATGTCACATCTGTACTCCAATTAAGTTAATTAAACACAGATCGTGGTTTATCAGCTTCATCCCTGGCCACAGCGGAAAGGGTTAAACCGCAGTGTACTTTGGAGAAATATGTATGTTGTCATTGCTGACATTGCTGCATTGTTGTCCTTCTGTGAATGCTAGTTGCCCAACCATCATAATAATCCAGTTGCTTAGTGCTGACCTAGAACAAAGTTTACAGATCGGGAGTTCTAACTTCACTTCTTTGGTAAGTGACTTAGTAAAAACTGACGCCAAAGACACTCAGGTCAGCAGACATTTTTCTTTCATGACAGGTTTCCTTTAAATAAAATCCCATCTGTATGAATAATATAATCATGATGGTTTTTAACTTACAGTTTTAATAGGATCCAGGTGGCAGCGTGATTACCGCGGGTGTAAATATGTATCTTTACTTTTTAAATTTGCATGAAAATCTCAATAGCTCTCAGGATCTAACTACCCTAACAAGCTGATTTAGGAGGTTGCCATGGTAATTATGGGCAAGACAGCCACCTTATATCAGCCTTGTATCATTAGCAGAAATGAACAAACTGATTTGTGTGCATCACAATAACAGCTGATTAATGGTTCTTCCACACATATGGCAGGAGGGGCAGGTTCAACAATGTGGGAGGGTTATGGACATTTGCCCCTCACACCTCTGCATCTGTAGGAAGGTGCGTTGTCGTGATGTCCGCTGCCATTCCCATCAATAGGCACTTCAATGCAGTTTTTTTTCAGGCGCAACAACCTTCAAAGGTCTGCAATATGTCGAGCCACCACAGTCCAAAATTTAAACAAAAAACTAAATGTAAAAATGTAAAAAAAACATGTGTGGTCCCTACAAAATCCATACCAGACCCTTACCTAAGATAGGGGTGTGGATTTTAAGGAGGAACCCTGTGCAAACACACAAAAAGTAGGGTTTCCCCCCTTCATTTCAGAATCCCCCCTCCACCTTAGAATATGCAGCTGTGGCAGCATGGCAGAGAGTGGCAGGCAGACCAGGCCTTGATGGAGGTGAACCTCTGTCCTTCTCTGAAGGGATTCCACTCTGCTTAGATCAACATAATTACATGGTGCTGGAAGCCAGCCCACCTAGACCATGCAGAGGCACATTGCTGTTAAAAATTTACAGGCAATTTGAGTTAGTCAGAAACCCCCTCTGGATGTTGCCCTTGTTGAGAAAGGCTGCTCTAATGTACATTCATGGATCAAAAATGTACAATAACTTTTTTGGCCAAGATGTAATATAGCATCATTAAAAACATCAGTTAAGACATGCTCATTAAAATTTATAGGTGTGAATGGCCCCTAAGGGTAGGTTAAGGCTAATAGTTAGGACAAGGGTTTAAGTGTATGTTTGGGCAAAATAAAATAAAAAGATTCAGTACCTCTTGGCACCCTCCTTGGCTAGGGCTAGGAGGGTGTTGTTCCACTTTAACCAGTTGACATCCGCGGTGTTAAACCCCCTTCCCATCCAGGCCATTTTTCAGTATTCAGCGCTGCGGTACTTTGACTGACATTTATTCCGTCATGCAGCGCTGTACTGAAATGAATTTTATACCCTTTTTTGGGGACAGATAGAGCTTTCTTTTGGTGGTATTTATTCACCACTGGGGGTTTTATTTTTTTACTATATTAAGGAAAAATTACCGAAATTTAAAAAAAAAAAACAGTTTCCCCTATATTAAATGATAAAACATTTATTATTACCCAATTTTTTGGTAAAATATAAAAGATGGGGTCACGTCGGGTAAAAAGACACTAAACATGTCAAGCCTTAAAATTGCGTGCGCGCGCGAAACCTCAAAAAACGATAATACCCAAAATTGGCCCTAGGCGACGCTTTAAAAGCTGTTACCGCTCATCAGTTTAGTGTTATCAGTGATTGATGGCCCTAAAATGATTGCTCTCACTGCGACGTTCGCGGCGATATGTAACATGTGTAGCGCAATTGTAATTTTTGCGCGCTGGGGCACCGGACGCGTATTTACGTTTATAGGCGCGTAAACGTGGGGGTGGGGGAGTTAAACATTTTGGGGGGGTTTTTTCCCCTTTTTTTATATGTGACTTTTATTTTATTTTACTTTTTTATGTGTTACTTTTATTTTTTTTTATTTATATTTATTTTTTTGCACTTATTGTTATTGCTATTATATAGGGGGATAACAACCCCCTATATAATAGCAAAGGCACACTGACAGGTCCTCTTTATGGAGATATTAGGGGTCTCTAGGACCCCTAATATCACCTGTGGACCCCAAAAGAAGCTGATGAAGCAGAGATCTGCTTTATCAGCTTCTTCTCTCTCCAGATGACTGACAGGTGAATGCGGAAGTGATGTAATACACATCACTTCTGCATTCACAGCCCGGACGGAGATCAGCAAGGAGCTGATCTCCCGTCCTCCTCCTCCTGACACCCTCAGAGCCGTTCCCGGGATCCAAGATGCCGCGAACGAGCACATATAGGCGATCGGCGGGCTATGGACCCGCTGATCGCCTATATGTGAAACACCCGGTAACGGGTGTGTTTAATCGTCGGGTCTTTTCTGCCCGTGCGTGCCCGCTAGGGGGCGCGCACGAGCAGAAAAAAATTGCCGTCTGGAGACGGCAACCCGCAGATGTAGCAGTGCCGTCCGTCCGTTTTTTTACTACGGGCGGACGGCAAGAGGTTAAAAAGCCAAGTACAGATAAATATACACTGAGTGGCCAGATTATTATGACCACCCCATCAGTACTTCATTAGGCCACCTTTTGACTTCAATACTGCGGCGATTCTTCTTGTCATTGACTCCATGAGATGTTGAAAGGTGATGCGAGGAATCTGACACCATGCCTGATGAATAGCACTGTCCAGTTCTGTGAGATTTGATGGTTGTGGAACCAGGTGCCTGATGGCTCTTTCAACTTCGTCCCACAAATGCTCAATTGGATTGAGATCTGGTGATTGTTGGGGCCACAAAAGCAAGGTAAATTCTCCCTCATGTTCTTGAAACCACTCCTGCACAATACGAGGAAGAAGTTGGAAGAAGCCATCTCCATTGGGATACGCCATCAAAATGATAGGATTAACTTGATCAGCAACAATACTATGGTACGTTGTGCTATTCAGACGTTGTTCCACATGAATTAAAGGGCCCAAATCATGCCAGGAAAACATGCCCCAAACCATAACACTGCCCCTACCAGCTTGAAGGGTTGTACTCATGCATGTGGGGTGCATGCTTTCATGCTGTTCCCGCCAAATTCTCTCTCTGCCATCTGCATGATGCAACTGGAAACGTGATTCATCGGACCACATGACTTTTGTCCAATGCTCGACTGTCCAATCCTTGTGTTCCTGTGCGAATTGGAGACGTTTTATCTTGTTAACTGCAGACAGCAAAGGTGTTCGAACAGGCCTTCGGCTTCCATATCCCATACGATGCAGTGTACGGTGAACAGTGCGTTCAGAGATCATTTGAGAGGATCCCTGATTAAGATCTGCAGTAATTTGATGCACTGTTGCCCTTCTGTTGTCTTGACCCAGATTTGCGACTGACAGTCCAGTCTTTAAACACTTTAACAACAGCTGCTCTTGAACATTTAACAAATTCTGCTGTTTTGCTGATACGGGTTCTGTTCCTCATGTTTTACCTTGGAGTACACTTTACATTTTTATTTACAAAAGGGGCAGGGGTGGCAATCTGTCAACAGGGCTACTATGGCTGATCAGGAAAACTGATGTACTTTCTCTCTCATCTGGTTATTAGCGATGCATGGCGTGCTGTTAGTTAACACGCTTTCTTGTCTTTTACAGCTTGCGAAAATAATGCGCGGACCATTCATGAAGTTTGTAGCCCATGCAGCCTCATTTACCATTTTCCTCGGTCTGCTAGTGATGAATGCTGCCGACAGGTTCGAAGGCACCAAGATCCTTCCGAACGAGAGCATCACGGATAATGCAAAGCAGCTATTTAGAATGAAAACGACGTGCTTCTCCTGGATGGAGCTTCTCATTATTTCCTGGGTAATAGGTAAAGATTTTTTCATTGACAATGCCCTGTGCCCCAGTTAATGCCGGCATGTAAACACCTTGTTAGGAGGAATGATTTAGATACAAACTGCCTTGCATAACAAATTCCACAGATATAGGCAGAGAATTAAAGGTGAACATTCTGATACTTTGGTAGGATGGAAATTGTATTTATATTTATTCCAATGTTATCTGTTGGGGCTTCAGAAAATCATCCCCAGGCAGATACAGTATATAAACATATTGGGGGAATTCATAAAAAATGTAAATGCCAAAATAGATGGGAATACTCGTTGCAATGACACACGTTGTTGTGCATGCTACAGTGTGAACGAAACCTCAAAACCTTGCGGCCATGGTGGACAGGTTTGTCTCCATTGGGTATTGGAAGGATGAGAGCACTGCAACAATTTGAAATCCCCCAATCGCATTTTAAGGTCTCAAAACTCACCCATCATCGGGGCCGATAAACAATATCGTATAAGAATATATACAAAAATCATATACAGCAACAACAAATGTGTATCTATAAAAGTGTAAATGAATGTAAAAAATATAACTATGTATATAAAATGCAGATACAGAACCCTGTATAGCAACGATGTAGGACCCTATGTAAATCCTTTGCCATGGAGAGCAGCCTCAAAAGATTCAACACTCTGGACCATTGATTCCCAATCACTCCTAAATTCAGTGTTCCTCCACCACACATCATATACTGTAGACTTCTCTGGCAGGGGGAATCCTCTTCCTCTGATTTACACCAATGGTGGATGTGGTACAGAGCGTATATCGGGCCAGCTACTTGTACTACAAGTGAGACTTGCTGTGTAAGGCTGAGATGCAGCAGGATGGGTGGCTGTTTGTTTCAGTCCTAAAGAGGGCATGCTTACAAGGCAAACTGGCAGGGGGGGCATTAAAGATGTAGTTCAATGGTAGTGTTTTGGTAATACCCCCTGGCAGGTGACAACGGCTCTCCGAAGGAACACAGTCAAAGCACCAGCCGATTTTTACCAGAGCTCCTGATGGTGGAGGTGTGTTTAGCTGCTTGTTGGTACCAGGTCATGACCCCCCGGATCTCCCTGCCAAGGACAGGAGAGCTCCAATGAGGAGACAATAGTATGGAGTATGGTCAGGACAAGGCAGAGGTTCCGACAGGAGAAAACCAGAAAATGGTGAGACGGTCCAGGTCTGCAGCCAGTAAACAGGAGACAAACATGTAGTCGCATCCAGGCAGGGGTCGAGGCAGGCTGTGAGCAGAGAGTGATCAGGCAGCCCAGGTCATCAACAAGCAGTCAATAGATAAGGCATGGGAAGAGAGCGAAGTCGGGCCCAGGAAGAAGATCAGGGCAGGTGGCAAGTGGAGAATGGTCAGACAGTCCGGGTCAGCAAACAGGACACAATAGTAGTATTAAAGCTCGTTGTACACACAGGAAGTTGGCTTGAAGACACAGCACAAGCCCCTTTCAGAGCTGGTACTTAAATTCCTCTCTGAATCAGAGGCGACATGCCCAGCATTACTTCAGGGCACTCTGGAAGTCCTAATCTGGAATCTGTGGCTATAATTAGCCATACTGGCCTGGGTTCTGTGAGAGCCATTAGTACCGTAGTAATGGCAGAGTTCCTATGAGTACTATTACTGGAACTCCTGGCTGGGATTCTCCAAGAAGATCTGTAAAACCCGGCAGGGACTCTGAGAATACCATAATAGGAAGGCAATGTTGGCACTCCAGTTGTTCTGAATCTATACATTCCATTGTGCCTCTGATTCTGTGAGTCATGCCTGTGGCTGCCAGTTTTGCAGTAGCTCATGGGACTTGTAGTTTCACCACATCTGGAGTGCCAAGGTTGCCTACTCTTGATGAGGGTTGAAGATGTCTGTGGGTAGATGGATTCCTATGCAGTATGCACCGTTCTACTCTGTATACACCAAAAGTGCAATATTGAACTCTCTAACATAGGTCTATTAAGCTGTTTGAAGGACTGTGACAAAAAAATTATTACGTGAAGGACATTACTGGCAGGGGCTGACTAATTGGACCTGGTCATTACCAAATGAGATACAACTCTATGGAGAGAGCCTAATGATCAGCAAGGAGTTTATTTGCCTCTCTAATATTTATGTATAAGCTTTGTTTCTGATTTGGTTCTCTGTAATTCTTGAGCTGTTTAAATGGAATTGAATTTCAAATAACAATGTGCTTTCTGCTATATAATGAGAACGTGGATGGAGTCATGGGCTCAAAGAGGTAACGGGTTATTACAGTCTGTGCCATGAATACCAATCAGCCTTTAAATCTGGGAAATCACTTCAATGCATATTGCAAGGAAATTATATACATCATTGTATGCAGACAGTTTTCACCAGCAGAAGGAAGCACAAAACAGCTCTGATGATGCATTACATACAGACATAGAAGATACTGCAGGTAAAAATACACCACTGTGATATCCTAAATTCTTTGGTAATACATGACATACATCAGGTTGCATGTTTGAGGCATATAAGAGTTGCCCCAGAATTTCGTGGACCTACTGTGTCACCAGGAGCAACAGCCAGCTAACAAGCAAGACAGATACTACAGCAGTATTAATCTGGCCATACGCGGCTCAAATTTTAGCTGATCAGCTGAAATTCAGCTCATGGGTGACCCTGTTGACTTCATCTGGCTCCATTAAAGTCAACTAGAAAATCGAAGGAGCTGGGTGGAAAATTGTTGCCCGAACACTGACAGCATTAAAACAGATGCAGTCACCGTTCAGCTATTTAGAAAGCAATGAGTGTAGGCTGTCTGAATATAATAGCCAGCAGGGAAGATTCCTCCTTCCACACTGTTTAGAGTGGATGGAGGAATCATATTGATTTCTGTCATTCAGCCCATCTATGGTTAGCTTATATCCTGAGTCAGCATTAAGCAGTCTGATGGTCAGATTAGGCACACACAAATTGTCAGATGGTGTTGAAGCTTATCCAGGTGGATGGTCTTACTATCACTCTCCCACTTGACAGTGTTAAAACCTGGTGGTTGGCCACTGTGGCCCAAGCATTGTCACATTGGGAAGGAAGGCCACATGCCCCCTCCTCCCCATAACTGTTTGAGTGGTCCAGTGATTCGGGGAGACAGCAAAGGAGCATGAAATGGAGTGTATACCTTGGCAAAGGGGTGGGCTAGCAGTAGACAATGTCCCTTTGCCCTGAATGAACAAAGGGACAGTGTATATTTCATACTACAGAGAGAGAAACGTCCTAATAATGTGGAGAAGCTTCTGAACTGATGTCCAACATTTTTCTGCTATAGTCATTTAATCTCATCTCAGATCATTGAACCTAATGGCTATTTTACACAAAAAAAGTCTACAAAGTTGAGGCTTCAGCAGCATTATTCTTGAAAATGAAAGCCAACTCCAGGCAGTTAGAAAATCCATACAAAATGGCGTCCTATCTAATGAAGGACTTAAAGTGACACTAAACTGAGGAGTTAAATCTTAGAAATGCATTTAAGTACCTTACCTATTATGAGGTAATAAAATGTATTATTTTGTGAATCCCGTTCCCAGGATGGACTACAATTGGCCAACTTTTATTGAAGTTATAGTGTATCACGTGAGTGATCTTGGAGCGGTGGCTACTTTACAACATACACAAGGGGTCATGGGGAACAAAAGTAGCCCCCCTCCAGAAGGAAGGACAGTGTCAGCACCAACTCAGAGATGATTGGCTGGGAAGCCGGTTTCCTGACCAATCTCAATCGAGCTGGCAAAACAACAGGGAGCTGGCTTCCCGGACAATCACTAAGCCAGGCAGCATGCCAGCGGAAGCACCGGTTTCGGTACTCGGCATCGGCGAGTACCGATAGCAAAATATCTCTCTCGTACTCGATACAAAAAAAACGGTATCGGTGCATCCCTAGTCAACTTTTTTTTCCATCTCTGTGGAGATTGGGGAGATTTCCCTTTGCTTCCTGTCCAATAGCCACAACAGGAAGTGAGACAAAATTCCCCCAAAGGGAGGAAAATCCCTGGCGGTCAGCAGGGTTACCAGAACTAGTGTCCTCATTGGAAGGTTTCCAATCTATTCCTGTTCTGGTGAAAAACCAAAAGCCATGCTTTTCTTTTACTTTCATGAAAAGTAGTGAATCTCTGTAATGGGGAGACGGGCAGCAATATAAACTTGAGGTGTTCTAATCCCTCTCCATTATATCCAAAGCTAAAGAAAAAAAGTGTTGGCTTCAGCTGTACTTTAAATCTTGAATCTGCCAGGTGGTAGAATTTTTGTGAATGATTTACTCCCGGGTGTTTAGCCTTATTATGTCAGTAACTGTGCACCTGTGTAAGTTGATGTTCCAGAATGTTGTTTCCTCTCAGCGTTGCCTTTGTTATAAATGATAATGGAATCCACCAATATCCTTTCTATGAGTTGGCGAGTCACATACTGAATATCATGTAGCATATTAGTACGGGTTTTCTCAGGCATCCCATAGACTTTAGCAGACTTAGCAACAGTTAATTCTTGTCCGTGGACTTGGTGGGAATTTCCTGGATGGATTATCACTCTGTGTCACTGTCACTTGCAGTATTTCTGGCTTTCAGATGACATTCTCAGTTTTTTTCACACTTCCCACTTCACTGCCAACTCAAGCAATGATTTCAGCATGACATGTGCCATCCATTACTCATTCTGTATAAGCCTGTATGTCCGATGGTTGAATTTCTGTGACATCTTATTTTTTAATCAAGCGTACATACACATTTGTTGCTGTTTAGTACCACCAAACTATTATTATAATTACCATATAAGGAAGCCATTACAGTTACAATACAATTCAAAACAAGATAGTTAGGAGGGCCCTGCCCTTGAGAGCTTACTATCTAATCAATAAACACTATATTCTTTTTTCCTTATAGTAATTTCAGTGTTTCTTAGGTAAACATGTACTTGATCTGCTGGATGAAAATAATATTATATATTAGGGTCTTTTTTTTTAAATTAATTCAGTAAAT